GCGGGAGTCCCCCTGTGTAACCAGCGGGAGCCTCTGTGCGGGAGTCCTCATATATAACGTGCTGGAGTCCCCATGTTTAACGTGCTGGAGCCCATGTGTGTAAACAGGTGTCTGCGTGCTGCTTCAGGCCAGGGAGTTTTTCAGAGAGTCTTTAATCGGTGCCTCTCCACCGCCTGCCCCATTCCACCATGCTGCCGTTCGGTGCGTAGACGACACTTCAGCTGGTTGGGAGGGGGAGGGGGGAGCTGTGATTCACATACAAACAAAAGGACATGCGCCTCTCTCTCCATCCATTCCCGCCAGTGTCCTCACAATGGTACCTTAAGCCCATAATGGGCAAAATGTCCCAGGGGATTCATTAATATGAAAGTGGTCTGTGTTCTGCGAGAAATTAGCAGTCAGGGCCTGAAATACAAATTGCAGAAACCACCCCCCGGGGCCTCGGGGATAATTGACTGGACGGTGAGGTTTCTCAGATCTCCACCTTTCTGGATTAAAGGCCGGAGATGGTGGGTGGGGCGAGGGCACCAGGTTCCAGCAAAAACAAGGAAACTCACAAAAAATATATATAATAAACATTTTTAATAACTTTTAAAAGCCCAAAAATGATAGTAAAAGCCATCTACATTGTCCCACAACTGAATGGGGAAGGCCACTTTAGGATAAACAGTGGATCTGGGGTCCTCAACCCCGCTCTGGGCTGTCCTTGCTGTGCCTGTCCCCAGGGCCGCCTGATGGCGCCCATTTATGAGATGCACGGCTCATCTAGCACAACGTTTCATTAGCTCCCCCTTGGCCCCCCCTCACCCGCCCACCAGTGCCTACTCTCCAATGAAGGGGCACTTCACCCCCAGGAGAGCTACAGGCCACCCCCCCCGAGGGGTCGAGCACTCATCTCCCACACCTCGAGTGGGGGGCTGGGCGTCCCAGCAACCTCAAGGCAACAATCAAGGCAAATGAGAGCAGGGGATAAAGCCCCCCCACCCCCCACAGAGACAGACATGCAGGGACATGTACCCAACACAGAGTGGGGAGTACAAACGCTTGATTCCTAATCAAATAAATACTTTAAATAAAATGAGAATAATAAATAGGCAATGTATGGTTTTGTGGTTTACGGATCTATGACTGTGTTCAGAAGGTCATGGGTTCAAATCCCGTGGTCAGCAGAGTAATTATATCACCATTAGGGCCTTTGAGAAAGGCCCTTAACCTCAACTGCTTCAGGGATGCTGGCTGACCCCGTTAACTAACCAAACATGGAAAATGGAAAAATGTCTCTAAAGTGCCCTCAGATGCACAGTCTGGCCAAGCATCTTCAGAGGGCAGAAACTCACAGGGCGTCAGGATTAGCGGCAGGAGCGGTACAGAAAGGGGAGGGGCTCTGGGAACGTGGCAGGCGGGCCTCCAACCGGGAAGGGAGGAAATAGGCAGAATGACAAAACGGGAGTGGGGTCTTTGGTACACAGCAGGGGATGGGTTTGAGGACCGCGGTTGGAGAGTGAGCTCCGAGCAGATGACATCAGCATCACGGCCCAGACGAAGGGGACAGTCGGGTTCATCCCAGGAAGACAGAGGTCCCGTCACCATACCGCCACACAAGATCCTCTCACCTTCATGTAGGTGACGGAAGGCAGTGGAGATTGTGTTAGATATGGGCTTTTAAATGTTGTAAACAGACTTGTGAAAGCAGTTAGTACAGCTGCACAATCACATCACGATTATATGGTGCATGATGGGTGTGAACATACAAAGGTTAGTGATCTGTATAAATCTGCCGTATGCTCATGTCTGTCCTTATGCTTCTTATGTAGGACTTTAAGCTGCTAAAAGTACAGCCAACACCACCCACGTCTTTTTACCCTGTTGATCCAAATATCTCCTCTTTGTAAAGATGTCATGGCTGCTGATCTGTCCCTTTCTTCACCGCCACTTCAGTGCTTATCGCTTCCATGATACAGCAAAACAGTAATATGTGGCGTGCGCCAATGGCCACATTTAATAAACACAAGGATATCCCGAATTTATACAGAATACCACACCTTTTGGGCCCCACAATACACCTCTTATTAAAATTTTTGGCATACTATTAATCTGCTTACCAACTAAGTAAATGTCAGTATAGTACTGAAAAAGCTGGTGTCCGGACAAATGTTTTGTCTGTCATCTAAAGCCCTGGTGATTATCGTGCCATATAATCGCGATGTGATATCGAGCAGCACTAGCTACGCAGCATATTCAAGACAACCTTTCAAAGTCTCCTTCACGAGCTAAAACGCTTCATAGGTCCTAATATGCCTGTCGGCAAAATGACGTTGAAGAACTTTAAACTATCATCACGACAACCGGTTCAGGCTCGACCTCCAGCCACTGCCGTCGAGGAACAGCTTCGTGAATACGCTCCTTCTCTCCACAGCCCACACCACCAAGGAAACGCCAGGACGCCGGGAGGTGCCGTCCGTCCACCAATTAGAAAACTAATTAGATCATCAGCGTTTTCCAGACCGGAGCGGCCCGGTGTTCCAGCTCATTACGCCCCCGACGGCTTTCCAGCCGGGTGCCGCCGTCAGACTCCCTGATCCGAAGTCCCCTCCCCTGCCTGACAGCCACTGAGAAATGTCACTAAGCGAGCAGCAGAGGGGACCTCTAATCACCCGCGGCCCTGCCGGGGCACCAGAGAGCGCCGGGCCCTCCGTGGGTGAAAGCGGCACATAATCCCGGGTTTTCTGTCGCAGGAAGTTTATATGGCCGCCACTTCAGGGAGGCCATGGTGGTCATGCGATTGTTAGTTGGTAGGGAATGGGCTTGAAGAAGCCGCAAAAAGCTTTGTTAAGATACCCGGAGCGGCTCGGAGGAAACTGTCACGGTGGCACGTAATCAGAAAATTGCCAAAAGTGAAATTCCCAGGAGAAGCAATCGGGACCTAACACTTCCAATCACCAATGGAAGGGATGTCATTTTGCAGACCTGTCAGATGGGGGAAGCGGGACCCCACCCCCCAAATCCCAGGCATTTCACTTGATTTTACAGCATCGGCTGATGCAATTTCCGACACCAGATATCAAATCGCACCCCTGTCCCCCCTCGCTCCTGGTTCAGAATCTCACCCCGGAAACCTTGCAGAACGACTCTTTTTGGACTAAGAACCCTGCAGCTGCACGAAACCTTACGAGACGAGACTAATCGATTTGATTAGCGCCCCCTACAGGAAGCAAGCAGAAAGCCTCGGAGGAGAAGAGGGTTTATTAGCGTATTCTGAATTGCTGCAGAAAATAGCATTAAACGCTCACTGCCACATGTCTCTAATTAGTGCTTAATTGTTTTTTTCCCTCCCCCTACAAAAGAAAAGCTTCCTCAGCTTTTAATTTGAACGTTTCGGAGCATAAAACTAACCTATACATATGGGGACAGAATTACAACCTCAATTAACCCTGAGCAAATGAGACGCGTACTCCTGCCATTATGGATGCAGCCTCCTCACGCGACTCTGGACAAGGAGGCAGCCGTCGACATCCCTGGATCAACAGCACCAGCCATGCTGGCTTCCCAGGAAGCCCCTCCAAGCCCCGCTGGGCGCAGTGGCGGGGGCGAGCACTCGGGTCTGTCCCCGTTCCCTTTAGCGGGATAATTAAAGAATTCCATCCCGTCAACAGCGGTAATGAGCGTCCGAATTGGTTCTGTTCTCAAGATGGACGGTGTGCGAGAAATGGCCAGAACACAAAACACCGCAGCCGTAAACGTTAAATAGATCGGAAGGTTAGTTTACAGAATGGAGCCTGAGCAAAGTATACCAGAGACGGCGGCTAGGGGGGCTGGCCCGCAGTGTGGTTAAAGCCCCGTGCCGGGGGTGCAGACGCTGCATTCAGCTTTCCCGCCGTCACCGATCTCACCTCCAGGTGTTCCAGGATGTAGGGAGGGTTGGTCATGCCCAGACGCAGCCTGGCGCCCTCAGGGATCACCTCCAGCATCCTCCAAAGCAGCGAGGGCAGGTCCGTGCCGATGTCCTTCCCGTAGGCGCCCGTGTCCTCGCTGGTGAGCCAGATCTCACACACACCCTCTGGGGAGAGAGCCGTGGGGTCAGGGGAACAGGAGGAACCACGGTGAGAGCCCAACCGGGACATAAGAGACAACCCAACCGCCATGGCCGTTACTGCCCAGGCAGGATTACCATACCTAAACATTGATACAACTGGAAAAGAGGGAGGTTCCATACCAATGCCAAGGCTCTTTCTAGGACTTGAACCAACAACCTTCTGGCTGTGCATTAAAGCCTCCCTTTTTGCTCACTGGCTTTCTGGGCCACTGCACTGGGGAAGACGGGTTAGAGTAGTTCCCTCCAACCCAGCTGAAGAGGTGGTAGAAAATGACCAGAACTGACCCTCCGGAACGGCAGGAGCAGCATTAGACCACCAACCGCTCACCCTACCCACACAAGAGCGCAGGTCAAACCCAGAGGGCCGACACGGCTGGAGAGATGATATATATATATGGCAAAAAATATCGTATAACAAGGGGCGGCAGCTGCCGTGTGGTCAAAGGTCAAGGGGCTTCTCCCGGCCCTGTGGTATGAGACACACGTTCACCCATGCGAACAAGGAAACACCTGCAATGCGACTGGCTGCTGCAGATGCGTCATAATCGTTCACCTTTCTCCTTTATTTTCGAAGGGATGCAATAGCTACTTTATTACTGAGACACATCTGTCACTAACTCTGTGAGCTCCTGTCCATCGCGCCCCCCCACCACCCCCCCAACAAAAGCATGACTACAAGGTCAGAAATTTCTAAATCAATATTTGCAGATGGAAATAAAACAAAGATAAATAAAACTGTAAGTGTGTAGGCATGCCTGGGGGGGGGGGGTATTCTTCTGCTCTCTGGAAGATGGCACAATCCTCAGCAAAGGAGAACCCCCCCACCCCGAGACAAACAAGCTTGTTCATATTCTCCTGCGACCAGGGTCTGCGTCGGACTTTTTGATTGATTTTGGACGCGTGTCGAACAAGATGCGCACGGGTCGGGCCGCCCGCCCGGTCGGGAAATTCCCCGGCGAGCCGCGCGCCTCGTGATCGACGCCGACACGCCACCCGGCAGACGCCTCGGAAGGGTCCGGGGTCGGGGCCGTGTTCAGCAGAGTCCTTAATGAGGATTTACGATTTCCCGCGCTAACGCTCCGCTGCGGGGGGGTGCGTTTTAAATTCGCCTGCCAGGAATGGGGCCTCCTTGTCGATTAATTATCGACAGGACGGTTCGCCGCTCCACTCAGACATTAATAATGGAAAGACGCAACTTCCAGTTGGGAAAATCTCCTGCCAAAGTGAAATGGAGTGAAAATCCATAAATAACAAAACACTGGAACGACTGTAACAACAGCAACAACAGAGTCCAAAATAGGGCACTGAGAAGTGGCAAAATAAACAGCTATATAAACTCTGTGGTAGTCAACACAACCTCCCAACAGGGCGGCGCTCTAACGCATATCCTTTTTCATTTTCCTGAGGCGACCGCATCGGACAAGAGAATGAAACCCAAGCGTAACGCGGTGCTCCCTTCGCGTCGGTCACGTTCTGAAGGGCTCCCCATGCCGGGAGAGGAAGCAAGCCTAAATTCAGAGTATTTCAGCCAGGCTGTTAGGGAATCTTTTAAGCCCAGGGGAGTTGAGGGGGGCATGGGGCTGCCTCAGATAAATTAACATGATGAAACTGGAGGAAAGGCGTCGTTAACTGTGTCCCCAAAACAGGACATAGGGAGGGGATTTCCATTACGTGGCCACCACTGCCACCCGCCATCAACGCCGCGTTATCCTGCCCCCCAGCACTGTTTTCTTTCCAAGTGGGGCCATCGAAAGGCTGAAGTCTTACGTCAAAAACGCTGTAAAGGTCACATGATCTCAATCTAGGTGTGTACGAGGAGGGAGAGAGGGAGGAACGCAGGGAGGGAGGGGGAGGAATGTGCCCTGATGGAAACGAGGGGCAGAAATGGGAAGGACCCAGCAGGGTGGGGGGCACTGGACACCCCCAGGGAGGGGCCGCATGGCAGCGAGAGCGTGGAGGGGAGAGGAAACAGCTGGCGGGGGGGGGGGGGGGGGGGGGGGGGGGGCAGCAAGGGCAGAGGCCCAGCCCCGGCTTCCTGAGAGAGGAGGATCTCCAAACAAAACGCTGGCAAGATCAGGGGCAGGTCTGGGGAGACGCATGGAGTGTCCTCTGAGGGACCTGGGGGAGGTCTGGGGAGACGCGTGGAGTGTCCTCTGAGGGAGGTCTGGGGAGACGCGTGGAGTGTCCTCTGAGGGAGGTCTGGGGAGACGCGTGGAGTGTCCTCTGAGGGACCTGGGGGAGGTCTGGGGAGACGCGTGGAGTGTCCTCTGAGGGACCTGCTCCATAGCATGATGAATATTCAGGAAAGAGGCCCAGCCCAATTCTCTCCTGCCGGGCAGAACCGTCTGCCAGATAAACTCATCATTTGGGGCATTATTATTGACCCTGCTGAGAGATTAACATGAAGGCGGGACACGTCACCCTAACATCACACAATGCCCCCGTTTCCTCCCAAAATCTCAAGCACAACTGCACCTTACAGAGTCATCAGGACCGCCAGGATGGCGCCTCATGGCGATGGTTCCCATCCCGGGCCCCCACGGGCCCCCTGACTCAGCCAACGCTGGTCGGGCCCTCACCCGGGTAGCAATCGCTGGCATGTGCTCCAGAGTCGCGAATCCTCATTACCGCTGGATGGGGTAATTACAGGGCGCCCTTAGGTCACCATTCACTGGACACCCCCCACCCCCCAAAGCCCCATAATGAATGTGCCGAAATTAACGCGAGCTGGTTAGCGGGAGATACCACCGAAGATTCCCCGACACCGCGGGGGAGTCACATGAAGAGGAGGGCAGGGTTTGTCGTTCCTCAGGAACCTCCCCTTTTTCCTGTACGTCGTCTTCCATGTGTAATAAACATTACGTTGCCGTTGACAACAGTCTCACCACTTCTACAAGCCTGCGTTTGTAGCCCCACGACCGCACCGGCCTTGTTGTCCCCCCTTCCTGTTTTGTCCGGTACATAAGTCCGGGAACCAGACCTGCTCTGAGCCACAGCCTCAGAACAGATGTGCTGCTCTATTTTGCCCCCCCCCCCCCCACCAGGACAACGTTACACAGGGCACCTGCACACCACACTGTATGCTGCACTAAAATATGGCCAGTTATCTACCGCTCACAAGTCTGGACACGCCTACTGAAAATCATTTATATTTCAGCATGGTAATGACCACAAGAAGGTAAGAGACGGAGCGCTGTGACAGACGACCAGCCCCTACAATCCCCCGTCAGATCCCTGCAGAGCTGGTTTGGCACGAGTTGGATCGAAGGGTAAGAGCAAGGTAGTCTACTTGAGTCCAGAACTTGTGGAAACTCAGGTGTTACATCTGGAAGCTGGACGAAAGAATGCAAGGAGTCTACAGTGTTATCGACGCTAAAGGGGGCTATTCTGAAAAGTCTAACAATTAAGACTATTTTGATACACTAAATTGGTAGCTGCAATATTTAACATGCATTATTTGCCTCAAGGCTTTTTACTATAAAGGGGAATAAGTTAAATCAGAGACAAATTCATTAAAAGTAGGTGTTGTCCAGACTGTACGGATCTTTATTTGTATCTGTGTCTTCTGTTTAATCTGTTTACTGGGAGCCAGAAAGCAGGCAGGGCGATTTTCACTGCATAGTGTAGCTGAATATTGAAATATGCTGACTAAACAAACTGCTGAGTCTTGAAGCTTCACTGTTTAGACTGAAACTCGGAGGTGTGCAAACAGGCCGCCCGGCCTATGCAGCAGGTGCTGAATAGCACGTGTCCAGAAGATGATGCATGAGCTTAGCCCTTCAATGCCAACCCTCTGCGAAAACTCGTCTTCTGACACACCGCGTGCTACGGGAGACGTCTCTCTCACACACACAGCGCCGACACACAAACCCAACGGCTACGCATCAAAGAACACGGCCGGGAGCTTGAAACGTTCCCCAGAGAGCACATGGAGCAGTCACGACATCCAGGAGTTTCTCAGGATTCCCGGTTCCTCCACCTCACTGCTGAATCGCAGAGACGCCCTTCGCTCTCTCCGCCTGGACAGACGCGGGGGCAGATTTTTGGATAAGAGACCCAGGTGCATCACGGAAGACTGCCCCCGGGGGCCTCGGCTCGCACCCAGCCCGCCGTTACTCACGTGTGCCACACTACACCCAAACAGTTGTGTTCCTGACTCACGGTGTCTCCTTTTCATTTTGCATAACCAACTGCTAAATCTAGTCAAACAAAACTTAACGGACAAAAAAATAAACAGAAAACATTAATCTAACGTAAGTGTAAAGCTTTGGCACCTGTATCTCTCCCTGGTAGAGAAGATGATGTGAAAGGTGCTACTTTTCCAGTCTTCATACGGGAATCCAGGTTCCCACACACAAACTGGCAGACAGAGACACCTGTCTGATCCAGCCAGGCTCAGACGGGAGACAGGGCCCCAAGTCAAACTCCCGGCGAGGATTAATGACATCATACATCACGGCGGAGACGTGGGGAGCTCCTCTCGGGTGCTGGCAGGCATCCAAGCCCAAAAAAGGTGGAAGGGAAGGAGCCGACTCTGGGAAGAGTCTCCCTGAATCTGCTCATCCTTAAAACGGTCTGGCACCCAGCTCACGGAAGACGTCAGAGCCAGGACGACGGGGGGATGCTTTGGACGGCCTCTACATCCCCAAACACACCCCCCGCCTGCCAGCGTCCTTGTTTCCTGTCACAACATCGCCACTGTTCCCCACCTGCTGGGACAGAGCAGTATAGTCGGGTCCTGTCAGCTGCTGGAGGTCCTGTTTCTAGCAGTTTCTATCAGCAGCTCAGGTCGCGGACGCGGAGCTCAGCCATGCTGATAAACGGCGCCACGTTCTAACAACCTTCACAGCGGTCATCGCAACAACAAAAAATTGAACAATGAAAAATCAACCAAAACAACATTTTTGTGAATAACCATAAATGCTATTTTCCTGCTGAACTCCAGAGAGCATTCAAATAACCAA